CGCGGCCGCGGGGCCTGGGCAGCGGGCGGCGGCCGTGAGCAGCGTCCCGGAGCCGGGCCTGGGCCACGCCCCCGCGGGCCTGGCTCTGCTCCCGGCCCTGCCCTTTGTGCCCCTTCGCTTTGAGTCGCGCGTGTCCCCCGGGCAGCCTGTGCTGCCAGCACCTCAGGGTCTCCGCCTCTCCCCCAACTGCCTTGAGACCTGCTGCTGCTGCTGCGACCGACCGTGGGCTGGGACCCCTCGTCCTGGCTTAGGTTTCAAATAGCGCTTGGCTGTGTCAGGAGCTGCACTCTCGAGCTCCCAGGAAAGCCCGATCATGCCCCGTCCAGTTGCCTACTTCAAGTGGGAGCATCCTTGGCTAACCCGTCCCAGCCAAGCTTGTGTCCCACCTGCTCTTGAAAGCTCCCTGGGGCGTGCAGGCTGGGATGGAAAAAACAACTTTGCAGCCATTTCTCTTGGTTTTGAATGGACCGTGTAGTGGCATGATGCTTGTTTCCTTGTCTCATGCAGCTGGCTTAATTTTGAGTGATTGAAAAATGCAGCTTGTTCACTTCCTGACTTGCTGGATTTTCTCTCTCTCTTTCTTTGCCTGGCTTTATTCTGCGTTCCGTTTTCTCTTCTTATTATAGACCTCCTGTGTAGCACCTTCGTTGTCTGTCTTTTTCCTGTTAGCCAGCCAGAGAGAGCGAGCGAGCCAAGCTGCAATTTGCAAGGAAATTGTAGAGAAATAGCTAGTTCTCTTTCCTCCCCCAATCCCTGTGTCTGGACGCTGCTTTGGATGGGGTGTCCTTTTCTCCTGCTCTTTCTGTGCTTTCTGGTTGTTTGGGACAGTCTCTGTATTTGGGTCTTCTTTTTCTGTTGGTGCTTGGAGCTTTCCCACCCCTGGAGAGTGAAACTGACCTGATTTCCTCTCCACAGCAGACCTGCCCCAAAGCTTTGAAGGGACCATAACACTAACAGAGCTCTGCTTGCCTCAATTCTTCTCAGTTTTGGCAAACTCTGACCAGCATCACTGATACCGGGGTCCTTTCTCTGCAAATACAGCGATATTGGTTAGGATAGGGTCATATTTTGAATGGTTTTCTTTGTCGCTGTAATTGCCTAGACGTTTTTAAAACAATGTGAAAAATCCTTGGATCTGTCTTAATTCAGTTTTGTCTCCACCCGAGATGAATGGGGAAGGGGCTTTTCAAACCATTCATTTTGATGCGGTCACGTGTCCTACCGGCAGCTAGGTTGAGACTCGGTTCTTTTCCAACTAGCTACTGAATGGCTGATCCTTGAGACTGACTTTCAGTCAGTACTGAATGAGCTTGGAACTAGGGGTGCACCAATAGAGATTTTTTTTGGCCGATACTGATGGCCAATTATTAACCAGCCATATCGGTTGATACCGATCTGATAGCTGATATGCAGCCCAGCAGCTTGGAGAGCAGTGTCCGGTCGGTAAGTCTGTGGTGGGGGAAGGTGGGGACATGGGGGGCAGCGATTGAGGCCACCGTGGTGAGGGAGGGAGTGGGGCTGG